TGTGTGTGTGAGTGTGAGAAAGAAGAGGGGGGCTGTCTCAACAATGTTTTGCACCAACAACCTATTGGCAAAGAGCCCGGGGAGCTAAAGGGAGGGAACAGGAAATCACTATTGTGGAAAAAAAGACAAAGTTAACGCATGAATACAAACAGCCATGCCATGAGTAAAAACACATGAAAAAAGCAAAGACTTAAGCATGTATATATATAAGCACATATCCACTGGCATATTCTAAAGTGATGCACTCAACAACAATATTCAACAAACTGCACAGCAGCAGTACGTCTATCTCCCTTCACGATGTGCAAGCACAGGCTGTGCAAACACAAACCACTGAATTTTACAGTTTGCACTTTAACCATTAATGCGTCAGTACTTATGATAGTTAGATATATAGATAGTGGTGCGCACTATCTCGCCCACTCTCTTTCTCTTCATCTATCTATATATACACACACAGACAAGTGCAAAACGGTGGCCCCATGATTTTGCAGGGGTAACACGTTTCAGCAGATGGGTGCACCTTTACGTCTCTATGTATATTTAGAACTCTGGTAAGTTGGCAGGATCCGTTTACAGAGTTTCGCTAACAGAAAGCTAAAATACCGCTGTTATTTCAGTCAGCGTTAAACAGTAAAAGCCGGAAGACATAATGCTAATACTTATGCAAAGAATCTGGTGCGCATTTTAGCCTGAGTCCATCTTCACCTGATATGAGCACCATAACAAAATTCAGAAAAAGCAGGTCTCTACCAGCTAGCTTATTTAGCTAGCCATTCTCAGCAAGTTCGCCTGTTCCTTAACTTTCCGTCTTACCTATCCGCCAAAGTGCCTTTGAATTACGGGTGCAAACTCCGACACAGTCCTCTCTCCACGTTGCCAACCGACAAATGAACGCTCTCCGGTCCGCTCCGGGTGTTTTAGTCAAACAACTTCCGCTCTTGGCTTGTAGTTGATCAATAAAAGTACCCCCGTTTCACTCCTGCATCTGAACCAGGTCCTCCAACTGCACTGCTCTCCTCCATACCCCGACAACCTGCGTGACACTTGCGCTTCAATTCCAAGTAAGTTCACCTGCCGCCTGGTTTCCTGGTTCGGATGGTGCGGTCCCAACAGAGTGCAGAACGGAAGCTGAGGAAAACTAAAGTCCTTAAAATAAAAGCTTTCCGCTTGGGCGTGTAACTTTCAAAATAAAAGCGGATTGAAGCCTCCCGGTGTCTCCTACAATACAAGGAAGACTGTTCAAAAAGCCCCTTTCATTGTTAATGCATAAAATAATTCCACATAAAACACTTAAAAACAATTAAAGAAAGTTTTACAGTGAATCCTGTTCCCAGTAACACAGCGTTATAAGCATAAATAGTTGTCTAGACTGGCTTTAGAAAAATAATGACTTGCACCATGTTTTGATTGTTTCTAGACCCAGCAATGCTTTATGTCACAATCTCTAAAGTAAGCCTCTCACTGGGTTAATAAGATACATAAATTAAATAATGTTATTATACCTCTTAAAGTATGTAATAAGACCTGTAATGTTAATTTTAGATCAAACTCAAAAGTGCAACTAACTGTAACTGGTGGGTAAGATCATCCAGGGCTATTTTGGAGGTAATATCCTCTGTAAAGCTGACAGAGTGGTTATATCCCTCACACCACTGGCACTAGCAAAATGCCAGTATTTGGAAGTGCATTTACTGCTGTCAAAACTTTTTTTTTTTTAGATGCATCTATTTAAAGATTTTTCACCCAGGAGCCAGGCTCATGCTTGCCACTCATGTCAGTTTCCTGTGGCTGAAATATTGTATTGTATATTATGAGAAATCTTGCCTTATGCACAAAACTACTTACCTGTAGAGATCTTTTTTTGGTTGTTTTTGAAATTATATTTTAAGAGTAACTCTTGACAAATTGTCTATTTAATTTGCATACATGCTTTTGTTGTTGAATACCTATGTAGTTGCTGAAAGTAGTTGGTCATGCCTTTGCACCTGCTGTGAGAATTGCAAAACTCTTTACAAACAGAACAGTCACTGCTGTTTGTAAAGAGCAGTGTGTGTGCTGAAGTGGTCCCAGATATAACCCAGGAAACACTGGACTTCTATGCTCCTTTAAAAATGTTGCTGCATTCCTCAAATGATGAACTTCAGATGGAACAATAACACTACATGTCCTGAAAACTTCAAACAGCTGTAGACATATCAACAGCCCCCCTTGACATCCTTCAACAAGGCTGACTAGCGAAAATCAGATCTTAATCCACCTCGTGCCAACTCTGACTCTCAAGTATTATTGTCTTAATCTCAGTATAACTGCAGAGAGATCATAAATAGCAATAGATTTACACGTGGTCTAATCAGCAGATGGAATAAACTCATTGGGAGTAAATAAAAATAAAAAATCAAACTAAATCTGGTATTATCCTAATGTAAAGAAATCTGTTAATAGGCCAATGAGAGGTAAGTGTGTCTGACTTCTGTAACATAACTGGTTCTTATTGTAGATTTACAGTACTGTGCAAAAGTCTGGAGCCCTTCTTATTTCATTCTATTTTTCCAGGAAAAATACGCGCTGTAGTTAAAAAAGCAAGCAAACATCAGTGAAAATACAATATTTGAGGACAAACATCGTTTATACAATTCTAACGAGCTTGAAAATCAATATTTGGTGTGACCACCTTTACTCTTCAGCAACTGGCTGTCTTAGGCAAGCTGTCCTGTACTTTTTTTTAAAGTAACTTCAGGAATTGTTCTCCAGGGGTCTTGAAGGAGATTCAAAGCTCTTCTTTGGATGCTGCCTGCATTTGTTCTGCTTTCTGTCAAGATGATCCCACACTGCTTCTGGACTCTGTGGAGGCCAATCCATGGCTGATAGTGTTCAATTGTGTCTTTTTTAACCAGGTAAGCATTTACTGCATCTGCG